AAGTCTTTCAAATCTGGTATCCAGGTATCTTGCCAGGAATACATAATCATTTTTCTGCAGCTGTTCAGGCATAATATGTCCAGACCTCTTTATAAATACCAAGAATTGCATTGCCAAAAGCAAATCTGCTCTTCTCATATAATCCTCTAGAAAGGGTCTTGTCCAGGGTCCCCCCTTATGAGGCATATGGGGTACAGAGCAGATGGACTCCTTCTTGGTGGTGACTCCCACTTATGGAATACCTTACATAAGACAGCGGATGGCTCCAAGCTCTTTTCCAATTTGGGAGAAAGCTAAAAATGTATTATTCCACGGGGCTTTTGAGTGGCCATTATAGGTCATTTGTTTTTAATATAATGATTGCTTTAATCAGGGGTCCCCAAATGCTTCATCTCATTGACCTAATTATGAAATTTCAGATAGTTCATTGATTCCCCAAATATTTATTATATGACAATAATTTAATAAATACCAGTTTAATAGTACTACAAATAAGAATAATCTGAAGCACCAGTTGAACACCATCAGGATTGACAAAATCACCATCGGTCAATTGCAAAAAGCAATTTTTTCCATTGTGGAAAAAATTCCATCATAGAACAATATCTTTAATATTATTAAACAACAGTTTCTGCTTAACCGAAGTCCTCAGGAATGGCTCCATAGGTGGAGAAAAATGCCAAGTCCAGCCTAAACATTTGGCTGTGTGATTAATCATAATAAAAACAACTATGGGACTTCCGGTGGATTTTGCACGCGCGATGGCGGCTACTTTGTAGCCGTCTCTCCTGGGTAAGTGTAAGAACCGCTATGAACAGCAGACACCAGCTGTTCAGCGGTTCAAAATCCCCCTCCCGGGCAAAGGGGGGGGTAGAGAGTGTCTGAATAGTGGTAGAGCCTCTTTTGCACCCCCCAAGTTTTTTTTGGGGGGGTGAAAGGAGTGCTCCCACGGAGTTCAGACTTGTCTCCGCTTCCCAGCTGTTTTTGTCCTCAGGGACAAAACGAGCCGCTGCAAACACCTCCGTGCTTAAAGAGAACTGGTGAGTTTTTTTATAAACGGACAGAGCTGAGTAGAGGATTTAGTTTTTCCTTTCTTTGATTTATTTGGATTTTAAGTTTTAAGACTTGCTTCTATTTTTATTCTCTCTTTTTATTTTTTTTTCTTTGTTGAAAGGGAAAGTAAAATGGCGATCGGCAAATCTCTCGGTGTTTTTTTTTCTGAAGTTAGAATGCTGACCGGCAGGCTTTTTGGTGTTTCTCTTTCTTTCCTTTCTCTTTCCCTTTTTATTTTCTTATGATTGGAATGGTTGTTTTTGGTATCTCTAAGTATTTTTTTTGGAACGGACTTTTTCTATTTAATTAATTTTTTTTTTCTTCTCCCTTCTTTTTATGGTAATGACCCTTTTTTGAAGGACTTTTTTCTGTTTAATTTCTTGCAATTTTTAAGAAGGAGTAAAGCTTTTTTTTAATTCTTTTTCTCTTCCTTTTTTTTTTCCCCTTTTTTCTTTTTATTATAATGACCTTCTTTGGAGGGAGTTACGATTTTTGAAGGAATTTTTATAATTTTTTAAGAAGGGCTAAAGGTTTTTCTTTAAGATGGCTCCAAAGCGTCCAGGGATTTCTACAGCTTCTAAATCAACAGTTTCACCCTCTTCTGGGGGTCAGCTAATAACTATGAAGGATTTGCAAAACATGATGGGAGATGTTATAATTCAAATTAGGGCAGAAATGAAAAAGATTTTAGAGGAAAATAATAAGATCTTGAGACAAGATTTTGTTTTGGCTTTAGAAGGAGTTGCTTCTGTTCTTGAAAAGGTGAACTCCCATGTGGAAGAGGTAGCTGAAAAAGTGGACATAATGGAGGGGAAAATTGAAAGTATGGAAAAAGAAATGGAAAATGAGATTCTTATGCTTCAATATGGACAAATGGAATATGCCTTAAGAATCAGAGGCCTGGAAGAGTCTTTGCAAGGAGATTTGAAAGAGATGGTTGCAAAGGACTTTGCATTGATTTTGAATAAAGAAAAAGAGGGAATACTTAGTGAAATTGAAAAATTATTTAGGGTTAACTCTGTGGTGGCAGCACAGAAGAATCTGCCAAGAGATGTGGTAATTTACTTTGGTAAAAGATCTTTACGCAATGAAATTGTGCAAGCCTATTATAAGAAGAGATTTCAAATTGCTTCACAAGATGTTATAATTTTTAAGGAGATCCCATCTAAAATTTTAAGAAGAAGAAAGGAGTTTGCTTTTCTAGCAAATGAACTTAAAAAGAGAAAAATTTTATTCAGATGGGATGTTCCGACTGGAATGGTGGTGAATTACCTGGGGACATGTTATAGACTTAATACTGTTTCTCAAGCAAAAGACTTTTATACTTCGGTCCTGGGGATATGTGCATCGCCATCTACTAAGTTTAAAGCTTTGGAAGAAAAGAATGTAGAATTACAGTTTGAAGAGCCTATATTTATGAAAACTGGAGAATCTTTGTGTGAGAGGCCTCAACAAGTCCAGGTTGAGGAGCAGAAGACAACTTGTGCAGTATACAATTCCAAAGAAAAGCAGCAACAGAAGAAGGTTAAGGAAGTTTCATACTCAGTGGTTTCTGAATCTCTGGGAGATATTAGACTTACAAAGTCTTTGGAGCAATCTTCAAGGGTGGAATTGCTGCCTGAAATGGAAATTGGGAAATCTCAGTTTGAGGGGCATCAACAAGAGAGGAACGGGCAGAGGATAACTTGTACAACTTACAATTGTAAAGACCAACACAAGGAGGAATTCAAGGAACCCTTATTGGCTTCGGAGTCGATGGGAGATTCAGGAATTTTGGAGCAGTCTCCTAAGGCAGAACTTGCAGCATTTCTTACGAGTTTGATATAAGAATGGAGAAGGGAAATGGAAGAATGGAAGAATGGAGAATGGAAAAAACTGGAATGTGAATAATTAATAATACTAATATAATTGAGACTGATAAGGATGCAGTTTCTTACGGATGGAATTTGTTATTGGTGAAGATTGAAATGTTTAATGTGTTTATTAATTTTGTTGTTTTAAGTTTTGAACTTTTAATGATAATATTGTTTAAATTTGTGTTTTGAAGGGAGTATAACTTGTTCAAGTTTTAAGTATGCTTAAATTTGGTTTTTAAATATTATTAATATTTTTAAGAGAAAATAATTTGTTTAATTAAATGTTTAGATTTGTTTAGGAAAGAAAGTAATGTTTAAATTTGTGGTTTTGGAGGGAGTTTATATAGAATGATGATTGTATTTAGATTTGTTTAGGATTTAAAAGTGTTTCTAGTTTTTAAATATTATTATTAATATTTTTAAGAGAAAATAATTTGTTTAATTAAATGTGCTTAGATTTGTTTAGGACTTATAGGTTTTTTAAGTTTTTTTCTTTTTGGATAGGAGAGAAGATTATGAAGATTGAAGGAAATATGTATTTACTTTAAGTTTTTTAAGAGTATTTAGCTTTAATGGTATAACAAAGATTTGTATGTTTATTTTTTCGTTTTAGGATAAAGAAAGAGGGAGAAATTAGATTTTATACTATAGATATAGATATTCAAAGAAAGTAATGTTTAAATTTGTGTTTTTGGAGGGAGTTTATATAGAATGATGATTGCATTTAAATTTGTTTAGGTTTTAAAAGTGTTTTAAGTTTTTTTTTTTAAATTAAGCCTGTACTCAGCTCTGGGAAGTCCAGGGGAGGGTTTGGGAGGTTGGGAAGGGGGGGGTGAGGTGGGGGGGTATGGGAAGGGGATTTGTTTTTGTAAAATGTAAAAATTTTCAATAAAAAAAAAATAAAAAAAAATAAAAACAACTATGGATAGTCCCATTGACCCTTTGCGGTCAATATTGGCAAACCATGCTTTAAATATTGCATTTTGGAATTGTATGCTGCCCAGATTCTACTAGACCTGCTGCTAAATAAATTGGTATCTTCCACATTGGGGGGATTAATATCTTTAAACTGTAACCGCCTTGCAAAATTTTCATAAATCTCAGCAATAAATCCAATAAATAAGGAATGGATACAACCAAGGTATACAGTATATGTTTTACTGCATCTCCATCCTAGGAAGCACAACAGCAATATCCCCTGCAAAGACAACAGCTGCTAAGCCTGGAAGAGCTCTTAGCCAATGCTATAAGAGAAGATTCATTCTTCCCAGTAATTACCAAAGCATCTCAGATTGAACAACTTCAGCATGTGCTGCTAGACTCTCAGTGGCTCAGTTGGTAAATAGTTGGGAAAGGCAGGCTATGTGAAAGGACCTTTCATACACCACTAGCCCTCAATAATTTCCCAGAGGTTGGAAGAATATAAAGAGCATGGTACAGGCATCAACTTGGCAGATACATCAGCTAGCATTTCATTGTGAGCTCTTCAGGAGAAGAAGGCTGAGAAGAGCTTCCTTCCCTTCACCAAAAAGAACCCACATGACCTCTTCACTCTAGGACAGTGGTTCTCAACCTGTGGGTCACGACCCCATTTGGGGTCGCCAAACAACACAGTCTGCCATTTTCCCCCCTTTTCCTTAGCTGTGCTACTCTTTTATTCTATTGGCTTTTGAAAGCCAATAGAATAGGCTCTCTTGAATAGAGTCTAATTCTATTGGCTTTCAAAAGCCAATAGGAATTGTCCAGGCTGTCTCTGCCCTGCTGAGCCCGCCAAAAGTCCCATTCTGCAAACGGTGCTGCAAGTTGTCTGCAGTGAAGGCGAGCTGTCTGGAAGCTTCCACCCCTCCCTGCTGAGCAACTACTAAAAATGTAAGTAAAAGAGGGCCAGGGGTGGGAAGTGGGAGGCTGGCGGGCGCAGGGAGGGTTGCTGGCACACGTGGGGCCTGGCGGGTGCCTTACTTCCCTTGGGCTGGGCCAACTGGTGGCCCAGCCGGTGGTCGGCCTGCGCCATCTCTGCTGCTTGCCAGCTATGCCTCAGCCAGCGCAGGGGGTGGCACCGCGCATGCGCGGTGCTCCCAGGCAAGGAAAGTCCTCAACTTACGACCGGTTGGGTAGTCCTCGACTTACGACCAGTTGGGGGGGGTCGCGGCATTAAAAAGGTTGAGAACCACTGCTCTAGGATGAGGAACTAATGTTGCAACTGTGGGGTAATTTGAAGCTGTAAAGCTCCCTATCCAACTAGCTATACCCTAGTGTCCTGCTTCTTGCTCCAAATATTGATTCACACACAATTGCTATGGTAGTTTGCTTGCTTGTTTGTTTGTTTATAAAATTTATAGACCGCCCATCATATCTCAAGGTAACTCTGGGTGGCTTACAATCTTAAAAATAAAAACTATATAAATTAAAAACATGAATAAGTTAATATAAAATCCAGAAAGCTATGGTTCAATTAAAACTTAGTTCACTCAAGGTCAAAGAGATAACAATAGTCAGAGCATGCAAATCTAAACAGTACCTTGACAGACACCTGCATGAATAACTGAACTGCATAGAAGAATAGTTCAAAACCAGTCCAAAGTTCCAAGGATCATATTAAGACGGTCAGCCATCCCAAACAGACAGAACCCACACAAATGTCATGCAAGAGCTGAAGACTTCAATCAGCTGCTGCTAATCAAGAAATTTACTCCCTTGTCTGACAAAGAACAAATATTCATAAAACATCTTCATAGAATAATGATTAATAATGTAATTCACAGGACATCTCTGCTCTCCTCTCTACTCACTGGGTGTGGGAGCTAGTAGGTTTTATATCATCCATTTCTGATTGCTCCAGCTCTCCAGGTGGTGTCTGTTTTTGGTCAGCTTCACGTGATTCATGGTTTGGTAACTCCTATAGCTCACTCACATTCCAGCAGTTTCTTCGGATTCAGAATCTGAGGACTGGCTCTGGGCTATGACCCCTGGCCAAAAGGAGGCCTCTTTTTTATCTGCAGAATTAGGGCGATAACAGCCTATAAGTACAGAGTTTTGTAGGGGCCCCTCAGTTATGTCATCCAGTCTCTATGATAGTATGATCATATTGACAATAAACTTCAGCAGCCCTGATTTTGAAAACACTTTCTGCTATAATATTATTAAAATTACTTCATTGCCACTGAGCGGCTTCTGACCAAAAACTGGAATGCCACAAACTTGGCTGCATTTCCAGCATGGACATATTTCACACTAGCTTCTTCTTCTTGTTGTTGTGCCATATCTGTTAACAGACACTGGCGATCATGTTGGTGATCCTGTTTTTATCAGCTGCACGAAAAAGTGCTGCTGAGTTTTGTCCAAACCAGTCCCTTAGATTTTGAAGCCACGATGTTCTTCTTCTGCCTGGACCTCATTTTCCTTCAATCTTTCTCTGGAGGATTAAATGGAGTATGCCGTATTTTTCCAGGTGTCGCAATATTCTAATTTTCGTTTTTTAATTGTTTTGATGATTTATCTTGGCTTTCTCAGGCAGCTTATCACCTCCTCATTTCTGATCTTGTCAACCCAGCTGCATCTATTGAATACAGCAATACTAGTAGTTGCTACAATGTGTCTGGATCAATATCTTCTTTAGCTTCTGGTAACAACTGGTAGTCTTTGAAGACTACCAGTTGCTACCAGAAGCTAAAATTGCAGAAAATTGGCATCAGTTTGCCTTCCTTAATAATCAGAACAAGAAAGAAAAATAATCAGACAATTTTATCTCCTTTCACTTGTGTACCACTTCCATCACCTTCTGGCATCTCCTCCCATTTTGGTCCTCTAATCCAGAGTTGTTACACTGTGCCCCAATCTCCAAAAGGTCTCTCCAATCAGAAGATCTGTCTAGTGCAGTCACAAGTGGATGGGCCAATATTGAATATCATGAAAAGAAATATTAGGAATTACTTAATGAGTTGTGTCCCAGTCTGTGTCCTCTAAGCCAGTGTTTCTCAACCTTGACAATTTTAAGGCATGTGGACTTCAACTCCCAGAATTCCACAGCCAGCAATGCTGGCTGTGGAATTCTCGGAGTTGAAGTCCACATGCCTTAAAATTGTCAAGGTTGAAAAATACTGCTCTAAGCAACTTGCATTTTTCAATTAACACCTGGAAGAGAGGTTGCTTAGACAAGCTAGTTCCTCCTATTTATTCCTGCAAGCTATGTGATAGCAAACTTCCAGCTTTAATCACAATCAGATAATTACTTCTCCCTTTTAGCATAACAAATATCCAGCACCTGATAGATACTTAATCCTCATTAATATCTAACCTTCCCTTTCTGATACCTAAACTGAGCAACTAAGTGGAGAGAGAAGAAGAGATTTATAGCAGGGCTATAAAACTTACTAGATGAAAGCAAAAACCCTTGGTGAGTCAAATTCTGGAGACCATCCTCAACATTTGAGGTCACCCATGGCTTCTGGTACTGTAAGTAATTAATGGGGACAATTTAAATAAATATGCTGTTTGTTTCAGACCTGGCACCTTTTTTTGTTTGCATTTTAGTAATTTTTATTAAACAAAAACTAATACCATCAACATAGTATATAAATGTGTAAAAATAAAAAATAGAAAAAGTGCAAAGAAAAAAAGAAAAGGAAACATCCTCCTTCTTTCTCAGCAAGTGTAAATAACATGAACAATTTATCATCATCTTTTAAAATAAAACTAATCATTTCTTCACCTCATATCTCCATTTTCTGTAAGTTAATTTTTAAAGTTTTATTTCTACTCCATTTTAATCAGCAAAACCCTATGAATGCTTATCCAAAATAACAAAACAATTATATTATAAACAATGTCTAATATAAACCAGTTTGAATCCTTCCTTTTACATTTATATTTCCTCTTCTACTTAAAGAAACTGCCCCATCTCCTCTTCAAAGAAATAAAACTTTTGAAACATCATTGTCTGTTCCTGATCAATAAAAAATCATTAAACATTGCCAAAAATAGCAATCTGTTTATTTTAGCCTTAGTCAAATAAACTGATTCTTTTCTTTTCTTTTTCTCCCAGCAATCTTTTGGTTCCTTCAAAACATCCTAACATCTGTTTGTCTCTTCTGCCAGAATTGTTTGCATTTTTAATAAGTCCCTTTTTGTAAGTCCAGTATAAAAAGCTTATCCAAGTCACTGTTCATATTCTCAATGCCTTTTCTTATGAAATCATGGACTTCAACAAGTCCTTTTTGTAAATCCAAAGCAAAGAATTTATCCACCTCACTCTTCAGGTTTAGTATTTGTGTATCATTTTTAATTGTTAAACCAATTGGTTTCATTTGTAAATATAATAATTCATCTTTTCCCATCACTTTCTTACAGGGTGTCATTTTAAAATCCACATCCAAATCAATTTCAGTTTTATTCAACGGAACTTGTTCCTCTTGTATGACATCATTTTTTTTTTTTTTTTTTATAAGAGCAGATAACTTTAAAAGAATTCCCTGAGCCTAAGTCACAAACCTCAATTAATGGATCCACTGATTTGTTTATTTCCTTCTGGGAAGTTTAGTAACCAACTTTCAAAGTCATCAGTTCCAGATGTAAACATAACAAGTTTCCCACAAGTCGGATTCCTATAGTTAATTTCAAAGTTCTAATTCAAGTACATCTGACCCCTAAACTATTTAAACTTTCTAAAATCAGCACTGTAATTACCCTTTTGTCATATATTCCAAATACATACATACATAATTAAATTAGATTTGTAAAGTTTTGAATACACACACACATATATGCATATACATACGCAGGTGTATACATATTTGCAAAACTTTAAACCTCTAATTAAAACTCTTTTCTTAAAGAAGTGAAGAAAACTCACGCAGTGAATATGATCAAACTTGTGGTTCTGAATGTCCTCTATCTTTAAAAAGGAGCAGAACAAAAAGTAAAATCCAAAGTGATTCAGAAAAGAAGGTTGGTTGAAACTTGAGTCTGTGAAGGCTACATTGATGGCTATGAGCTTGATGGAATCCCACAACTTCCGACTGTTTGCAGCAACTGCAAAAAAAAATAAAAATAAAAATCAATTTCTGCTCTCTCTACACACACACACACACAACCCCCCTCCACAAATGTCCAGAATGCACAGGGGTGATCACAAAACCTCTCCTTTCTACTAAGATTTTTAGCCAGATCCAGGATCCAGCTGCCATTTCCAGTTGTTTTCCACTGACCATATGATGTCAGTTTGCCATTTCCTCACTGGAAGTCTCTCCAGTCCTGGAACCTCTTCTAATGTCATCATCCTTTGTTATCCATGACACAAATTCTAAATTACTAGATAAGAACTGCAGAAAACTGGTCAAGCCGGTTCTTGAATATCCTAAGAAAACTTTTCATTGATGAATATTTTATTCAGGTAGATAAATGCTTATTTTGTCTATATTCAGTTTTCTATGCCACCATGGGTTCTCTCTAGAAACTTTGGAATGACAGTTCCCAAATTCACAGTCAAGATAAGTCAATAGAAGTTTGCCAGTTGTAGCTCCGGTATGCTTGGAGAAGACAAGTCAATTGTATTACACCAACCAGTTCAATTGTATAAAATGCCAGTCATTTTGTGATGCTGCTCATACTTGCTATGTTCAGTATTTTATTATTGAAAATGTCCTCCTGTTGAAAGCCATTTGAAGCTACTTGTCAGCTCTCAGAAATAAGAGTGGGTTATTCATTCAACCATAGAATTAATCTGCAGATAATGACACTTTGGTATTTTGATTAGCTTAAAAAGCTGAAATTTCCTCTTCCAGTGCATTTCATCCCTTTTTCATTCTTTCCTGACTCAGCTGATTCCCAATGCAGATCCATTTTATTAATAAATAAAAGTGGTCAGTATTTTTTAAAGAGGGGGATAAAGAGAACTCAAAGCAGAGGGGGATTTGATGGCTTAGAGTGAATATTAGGACTGCAACAGTCTTGAGCTGTTCTTGACACTGGGAGATGGGAAAGGTGTTTTAGTTTTGGAAGAAAATAAAGCTGCCTTGTGCTTCATACAGTGGCTGGGTCTCAACTGCCCTCAAGCTCCTTTGAGATGTGCATCATTTCTGGTGATTTTGTGAATGTATCAGCTATAAATATGTAAAGGCTATATAAATCAACCAAATAAATGAAATGATTTGTGACTGCATTCTTCTAGTATGTTTGATTTCCCCATTTAGTCTCCTAAGTGAGATTTCCTAATAGTTTCCTAATACTAACCAGGTCAGGTGTGAGTTAGCTTTTCAAAATCAGCCAAGATGTCAAGTAACTGAATACAGAGCCATAGACCTTTCAATTGCATCTCTTACTTCTCTTAATGATTTACAAGATGCTTTAAAACAGCATGCCTTGGATATTAAGGAGGAGGTAAAAGATCTTATAATTGCAGAGAGGGCTAATACAGAAGAATTATTGGAGAAAAAGAATAAACAAGTAAGAGACCATATCCTTCTGGCCTTTCAGGGCTTAGCCCTGCACATAGAAAGGATTGATGACCAGATGGAAAAGATTACTGAAAATGCATCAAGGATGGAATTTAGAATGCAGGAGGTAGAGAACAAGATAGAAATTACACAGGATGAACAAATCATTTCACAATATAGGGAGATGGAACACGCATTGCGTATCAGAGGCCTGAGGGAGAACCCTCAGGAAGACTTAAAGATGCTTATTGTGAAAGATATTGCTCCTAATATTGGTTGGCGGCCTGAAATAATTGAGAATGAGATAGAAAAATTTTTTAGAGTTAATTCATGGGTTGCTAGACAGAGAAATCTACCAAGAGATGTGGTTATTTATTTTTCTAGAAGATCTATCCGTAATGAAATTATACAGGCTTTTTACAAACAAAAGTTTCAAATTGCTGATCAAGACGTGATAATTTTAAAAGAGATACCTCCAAAAATTTTAAGAGCCAGAAAAGATTTTACTTTCTTGTCTGATGAGTTGAAACATCGTCAAATTCAGTTCAGATGGGAGATTCCAAGAGGAATAATAGTAAATTATGAAGGGATACGTCACAGATTAACTACTATTTCCAAAGCAAGAGATTTTTATCAGTCTATCTTAAAAGCAAGATTGTCACCACCTCCACAAATAAGGATGACGGAAGAGTCTCTTATGGCAGGAGCCTCATCAATGATGGTTATGGAACAAGCTGCACTGAATTCTGACATAAAAGAGCAAAGGATGACACGAGCTGCCCATAAACGTAAAGAAAAAGAGCAGTTGCAGAAGAGTGGTGAAAGTTTGGTTGTTACAGAGCCTGTGGGAGGGGCAAGACCAAAAAGATCTTCGACAGCAGATCTGCAGGCCATGCTCCAGAGGCTCCAGGCCGGTGGAGATGGTCAGGTTCCTGACCTGGAATGTTAATGGCTTAAACGTGCCCCAGAAACGAAGAAAGATTTTCCATTATTTGAAACAACATAATAATGATTTGATATGTTTGCAGGAGACTCATATAACTTTAAAGGATTCTAAATTCTTGATGAATTCCCGTCTGGGCACACATTTTACTGCTCCAGCCCCTGGGAAAAAAGGGGGAGTGGTAATTTATGTGAAGAAAACTTTTTCAGCTAAACTAATTGAGGCTGATTCTGAAGGAAGATATCTTTTTGTGGAATTATTATTACAAGGCCGAAAGGTTCTTATTGTTGGACTATATGCTCCCAATCAACAACAGAAACAATTTTATAAGTTGCTGCATGGCAAGATATCTCAGTTGGATTATAAATCGGTAATTTTGATGGGTGACTGGAATGGAGTTTTAGACCCAACTATAGACAAAAGAAGTTCTTCTAAAACTTTTATTCAAACTAAACTACCTATGACTTTCTTTGATTTGAAGGAAGAACTGGAGCTTATTGATATTTGGCGAGAAAGGAATACAAGTGATAGAGACTTTACCTTTTATTCTGATAGACACCAGTCATTTTCAAGGATTGATTTTTTTTTTATTACTAGTGACTTCCTCCCTAGAGTGAGGAAGGTGAAAATTTTTCCTAGAACATTGTCAGATCATAGTCCGGTGTGGATGGAGTTATATTCGGAAGACGGGAATAGAAGATCCTGGAGATTGAATGAGAACTTATTTAATCGGGAGGAGTTCGTACAAAAGTGTAAAGAACATTTAAAGGACTTTTTTACTATAAATATGAATAAGGGAACATCGATGTCTATGGTGTGGGACGCTAGTAAAGCATATATGAGGGGAATTTTGATTCAATTGAATAAAGTTTTTAGGGAAAAAGGGTCACAAAGACGTAGAGAAATAGAAGAAGAGATCAAATCAAAAGAACAAGAGTTGGTTCTTAACCCTACTGATAATAATTTAAAGGTATCTATAAAGATGCTTAAGGAACAATTTAACATGTTGATGGCAGATCAGGTGGCTACCAATCTGTCGTACATGAGACATAATACTTTTTGCAATGCGAATAAGCCTGGGAGGTGGTTGGCTTATCAGTTACGAAAGAAACAGAAAGCTAGAATTATAGAGAAAATAAAATATAAAGGTACCGAGGTTTTTCAGCAAGATTTGATTAGAAAAAGCTTTTTGGACTTTTACACAAAATTATATTCAAGTGATAATATAAGGGGTTTGGATATAGATAAATATTTACAATCAGTACATTTTCCTAGACTTTCAGAGGAACAACAAAATGGGATGAATAGTTCAATTACTGTGGAGGAAATTGGTTTAGCTATTAAGCAGTTAAAGGTTGGAAAGTCTCCTGGAACAGATGGACTGACTTCTAGGTATTATAAGATCTTATCTAAAGAAATGATAGAGCCATTAAAGGAACTCTTTAATAGTATTTTGTTGGGTATGCAAGTTCCTCCTTCTTGGAAAAGAGCCTTTATATCACTGATTCCGAAGGAAGATCAGGATCTTACAGAGCCTAAGAATTATAGGCCAATTTCATTATTGAATGTTGATTATAAGATCTTTACAAAAATTTTGGCAAATAGATTAATGCAGGTTATGAAAGACTTGATTCATAGTGATCAAGCAGGATTTATAACAGGGAGATATATGAAACATAATGTTAGACAAATTATTAACTTAATTGAGTACTTGGATAAGAATAATCAGATTCCTGTGGCTTTTATCTTTTTGGACGCTGAAAAAGCTTTTGATCAATTGGACTGGCAATTTTTATTTTCTTTGGTAGAGAAAATGAATTTTGGGGACAATTTTTTACATGCACTTAAAGCTATATATCAGCAGCAATCTGCACAAATTGTTGTAAATGGGGGATTGACTGAGAATTTTAATATTCAAAAAGGGACAAGACAAGGATGTCCATTATCCCCATTGTTATTTGTTTTAACATTGGAAATTTTACTGATTCAGATTCGGGAATCGAAGTTAATTAAGGGTGTAAAGATAAGGAAGAATGAGTATAAATTGCGGGCATTTGCGGATGATTTGGTTTTAATTTTGGAACAGCCGAATCAGGCGATTGATGGTTTATTAGAACTTATAACACAGTATGGGAATGTTTCTGGTTTTAAAGTTAATAATTATAAGACTAAGATATTATCTAAGAATATGTCAGTTAAAGAAAGGGAAAGTTTGATTAAAGCCACAGGTTTTCAGATGGTAAAAAAGGTTAAATACTTGGGAGTATATCTAACTGCTTCAAATGGAAAATTGTACAAGAACAATTATGAACCACTATGGGCAAAAGTCCAAAAGGATTTAAGAGATTGGAAAAAATTGCAATTGTCATTGTTGGGGAGAATTTCAGCTGTAAAAATGAATGTTCTACCAAAGTTTCTTTTTTTGTTTCAGATGATACCTATTCTTAAAAAAGAGGCAAATTTGGAGGAATGGCAAAAGGGTATCAATAATTTTATATGGGCCGGGAAGAAACCAAGGGTTAAATTTAAGATATTACAGGATGCTCGAGAAAGAGGGGGACTTAAGGCACCCAATTTGAAATTATATTATGATGCAGCCGCCCTAACTTGGTTAAGTGATTGGCTTAATTTAACAAATATGGATATTCTTTTTT